GGAAGGGTAGAACAGCAGTAATCTCTCATTTACTTTTCCACATAAAAATAAAGGCATTTGGGGCACGTTTTATAGGAACTGTATACTAACTTCTTTCTATTCCAGTATGTGACTACTTTGGGTTTTATACTTGCAGAGTCAACTGTTCGTTTTATTTCAAAATCGGAGCTTGCCGTCATGGAGACAGATGTTCTCGGTTGCACAACAAACCAACATTTAGCCAGGTTTGTTTTCCTTTTGCTTTTTGTTTGGTTTGAATTCGTAGAAGTATATTCTTTAAAACGTAGATCCTCAGATAAAAGTGAATAATTACAGAGCTCCAGATTAAGTAGTTCACTTTTGGCCCCAGTTTATATGGGATTTTGCTTTTTTGGGGGTATTCCATTTACTTCTCCCAGCATTTCTAATCATCTCCTGTCACCCTTAATGGCTGCAGGAAGCGATGCTGTTGTAAGCTTGCCTGTAGTAGAGACCAACCAGTGCTAACTTTCAGGTGAGTGTGCCTTCTCAGTGATGTTAGGCACTTAAACCTTCCCAGATTTTTTTATTATCACAACTAATAGCAGCTTGTTCCACCTAGCCAAAAGGTGTGAACTTAAGTCTTTGCATATAAGAGAAAGAACAACAACAACAAAAGCAAATAAGTGACTTTCCTGTCACTGTTTTTGCTCTCTGACCCAGGCTCTTAAGTTTCAAGTGTAACTTACTCGCTTCTTTTGAACGTGAACAAATTATTTCTTGAAAGCAACTTGCCTGGTTGCCGAGGGCATATACATCAGTTAACTTGACAGATTACTTAGATTTTGGCTATCTAAACGTTAGGGACAAGATGAGCGACAGCACGTCTGCTTAAAGAACTGGTGCAGAGGGTGATAGGGTTGTTTTTGTTATTATGAGCTCTACGGTTTTCAGAAAGCTACTTTTACCTGGAGAATTATATGCTTTTCCTTTTTCTATCACCGCTGATTGTCAAGGTGTGCAGGTAAATAGATTTCTTTGGGAGAGCTGTGTATGATGTGCTTATGGAAACTGCTGTTTTAGGAGCAGTTTTATCTGCAGAGGTGAAATTTACGTAGCAGTGGAGTCCTCTGGGCTGGTGTTTGTTAAGGGGGAGTTCAGAAGGCAGGTAACAACCACAGGGCTGGAGGTTAGAGGTAGTGCTCCTGAAATTAAACCTATTAAATACAAGCGGTCTGTGGGTGTGCTATGCAGGAGTGGTTTGAGGGATAGAAACTGTCAGGGTTGTGAGCGCTACTGCTGGTACTTCATCAACAGAGGGAGTTTTTCCATCTAAGGGAACTTAATAATTCTTAGTGTAGATACTGCTTATCAAACAGTACTGTCCATTCTTCTGGCTGTTACTGATATATATGGACAGCATACTGAAATCATTAGGTAATGTAGAGGCTTGAGTTTAGGTTCTTGGCTACTAGAAGATAATTTGAAACTAGACAACTTCCACAGTGGTTGTTATAATCTTAAAACCATATGTGTATTTTTAAGAGAGCATTTATATGCAGCCCTTTGGCTGCAGCCTTCAGTTTTGCTGCCGAAGCTGCAGTTAGTACTGCTGGCTGAAGTGGGTCAGCAGGGCATGCTGGAATCATCTGGCGACATCTGGGAGTGCTGCTCTTGGCTGACACACTGTATTGGAACATCTGCAGCATCTGGGATTCCTTACAGAAATCTTTATTTGTGTGCAGATTGGTAATCAGCTGTGATAGAAAATAGAGTAAGAAATATGCTATTAATGGGAAGCTGCTGCCTCAGTGTTTTCTATCTTCCCCTGGTGCGGCCCTTATTGAAGGGCTGTGTAAGGAAAGGTTATGCAATCCAAAGCGATCAGATTACCACCAATTAGCAGAAACACTGTAACTGTGTTTCTGGCTCTCTCCAATTGTAGAATAAAACAGTTATTTTAAACCTGGGCCACGGAAGCACAAAGCTTTGGTTGATAAGACCGTACCTGTTATAAAACAAGTGTGTGATTTAAAGGTGATGCTACAGATTCTGTAATGTTAAGTGATCAGCATATGTAGGTATGACATTGCTGGTCCTGTGACTTTTTTTTTTCATGATGTAACTAATGATAATGTATAAGCTAGGATAATTTGGGGACTGCGATTTGTACTAACGTTGAGCTTGTACTTTAAGTAAGTAATCACGTTTCAGTTTTTGAGCTGCTTACAGTGATATGGACATTTGGATTTTTTTTGGTTTTTTTTTTTTTTTATTTTTTTATAATATTAGTTTACTAACTTAAACATGGTTTGTTTTTTCAGACAACTTGATTTTAAGAAGAACGGTACAAATGTAAGGTTTCAAGTCTGCCTGGGCTAATTCTTCAAGTAAAAAGCAGAAGGGCTAAAAGGATATTGTCCTTATTTGAAGGATCGGAAACATGCGAACCTATGATGCTATTATATTATTTAAACAGAAATTCCACCAAGAAATTCCCGATACACAAAACGAGATGCAGCTCATGCCTAAAAACCTTATGGTGTGGTGTAACGTTCTAGGCTCTGTGGCATTATGTATTGTATGCTGTGCACATAACACTTACTTTTTTTCCTAGACTCACAGTAATGAATCTGATCTTCAAAATAAGATGAAGCTAGGTGTATCCGTCCTATCACGTAGTTTGGTGTTTCAGGTTACTGTGCCTCACAACTCCCATTTTGAGGATAGCTGTTGAGACAAACGCAGCTCTTTCTTGGTGGTTAATTACAACTGTTTTCATAATATGATGGTCTGGATGCAATTGGAAGATTTTCTGCAAATGCGAAAAGGAAGTCTTAAGAACAAGCTATTACTTTTAGATGTTTGCAAACAAGTTGTCTCTTTGCAATTGTCTATTATATGCACAGCAGCCAGTAGAATTCCCCTTTTTATTTTTTTTCCCCGCAGACCATCTTGATTCAAAACATCTATCGTAACCCCCAAAACAGTGCACAGACGGCTGACGGCTCACACTGTAAGTCCCACAGTTGGAGAAATTTTTTTAAAGAATGGTGTTAAAGAGCCCACTCCTAATTATGAGAAAATCATGTTGGCTTCTGAGCTGCTGACATAAAGCTGTTGCAAACAGGACAAGTGATGGAACTCTTCTTGCGCATATATCAAGAACTTGTCAAATGTGTGCAATTCAGAATGCAGGACGTGATTTCATGAATTGGACTTGATGCAAATTGGATTGCTTAATAACGCTGCATTCTTTTTAAAGGGTTAAACTGCAGGCATTTATCAAATTCTTGATCCAACAACAACAACAAAAAAAATAGGTCTATTTGTGATGTACGGTAAGTTTCCCAGACTGTGGTTCTTCTTTCGTCTTAACTTTTATAGGAAGATGGAGATCTCATGTCATGCTCCGATATTGTATTATCTCTGTTCCTGGGGCTTTGTTACTAAGAATCCATTCAGGAAGACCAAATTCAAGCGAGTATGATTGTGGCCATAGTTTTGAATACTGCTTTTGGATACCGTTTATTACGTGTCTGCATGAAGTCATGCAAAACCCCTCCACAGGTTAATATTGGTTAATAAAATAAAAGTAAAATACAATAGTGGAGTATCATGAGATCTCTTATTTTACAGTGTTAGGATTATTCAGAAAGGTCACCAGCTAAGAGAAAGTTCTCCTTCTTGGGAGAAAATAACCACCTCTCTTTCAGCACAGACTCGGCTAGAGCGACCCTAAAGGAAACCAGTTTCTTGTTAAAATTATTTTCTATAATATAAAGTTGTTGCGTTTTGTATTTCAGACCATTGCCCTCTTGAACATTTACCGTAACCCTCAAAACTCTTCCCAGTCTGCTGACGGTTTGCGCTGTAAGTTCATACAAGTTCCTTCACTGGTTCCCTGGGCTTGATTGTCAGAGCTCAGTGTCGACTTAAGCTGGTCTACCATATTAGTTTAACAGATCAAACTGACCACGTTTAATGAAATGTGCCCCCAAAAATACCCGAAACTTTTTGTCCCACTCACCTTCTTCCCTACTCTGAAAACTATGAGGGGAATCTGAATACCATCTATTAATTAAGTTGGAATTGTACTTTCCCTGTAAAAGCAGTCTTGATGCACTGCCTTCATCCGCCCCTCCTTTCTCCTTGCCAGCTGCTTGCTTTCAAGCAGTGCTTTTCTGTATGTCTTATGGCATCCATAAGATTCCACCGCCTAAAAGAGCAGGATAATGACACGTTGACTTCATCCAGAGTAAATTTCCTGCTGTCATTGTTAAGGGAAGTTGAATTTAAAACTCTTCAGACTTCAAGCAGAAATTTGTTCTAGGTTAATGATGTGGCTTCCATTTGTAGTCTGCTTTGGAAGAATGCACTGATAATAGCTTCCCTTTTGGCAGCTGTCCTTTTGGGTAGGTGCATGGTTAAAATTCCTTCCATGCTTTGAAAATTCAAATTCCAAAACCAAGTTGCATATTCATGTAGGAAAATAAATCTTTAAAAGTACTTTTGAGGAGGGGCAGCCATTTGTGCATGGTCACAAATTAACTTGATGACTCCTCATGAGGTAGGAATGGACAAAAGAGGAAAACATCTACTCTAAGACTGGTAGAAATTAAATGACCAAGATTGTTGATCTGCAATTACTGACCTGTCATTGTGACTGAAACATCATATTAGAATAAGATTAAATTAAAAAACTAGAATCAAAAAGGATCGATATTATTTTCTAACTAATATTTCTTGTTGAAGTGAATATGACTGTGTGGTAATAAAGCTTTGTTTGGCTATTCCTTTTTTGGGCTGTCGGATTACAGACTAGTTCAGATTAGTTACCAGCATTTGTGAAATCAACCACTACCTTAAAAGTCAACACTGTGTCGTCTGCTTTAGAAGTAATAATGGCCCAGTTAAGCAACTCGAGCTTGTTTTATGTGAAGCGATCAAGCTAGATGCATAATGAGCTGTGTCAGTTTGTCTAGATGCTAAACACTTCTATTGGTTTGTAGGCCTCGCTGCAGATGCTTTGTAGTTAATGCTGTTTTGATAAAACAAAAACGTTCAGTTGGGTTTTTCCACTGTCCCTAAATTCTCAATGCGCTGGTAACTAATTTGCACGGTTACAGCAGTTTGGTCTGTGGAGCTATTTAGATTGTACAGCTGCGAGAGTCTTGACTTGAACAGACCCTCTAGTCTTCCAAAAACTGGTGTCCAACTTCAGTTTGCCTTGGCGAGTGGGTAGTCATTTAACAGAGCCTGCCTGTACCTTGTGCAGTAGAGCTGGAGCTCTGTTACCAGTACGTTTGCTGAAACTCCCAGCTCCCTGTTTTTTCCATATTTTTGTCCCAACTTAAGTACTGCATGTATTTTAAATGGGTAACTCGGGTAGCTATTGAATGTGTTGTTTGTTGTTGCTTAACTGTCTTCCTTTCTATTGCCGTCGTAGAGGATTAACCTTAGTTTTGAACGATAATAGTTTTCCTGAGTATTTTAATTAGTAATGGGGCTTCTCAAGGTTCAGATACCGGTGGCCCTGGAACATGAATGTTTGTAAAGCCTGTGCATATGTATGCTTCCCACTTAGAAGGACCTTCACGTAGTCATTAACTAACTGTTGCTTATGATCTCTTAATTTGACAGTGGAATCTCCTTAAAGTTTCTAGCACTCATCCATTTGGTTAAAATTAATTATTCCCTATGTGGCTCACGGAGCCCCCATCTGATATCTTTAAAAATAAATAAATCCTTAGGTATCTATAAGCTGTTATGAGTGGTGACTGCACCACCTTGGGAATATAGTGAAGTATTACCTGTCTAGAAGAACTGGTTGAACGTTTGGTATTTGCTTCGTTTGCTGTGTAACTGTGGGAAAGTGGTGAGGAAGAGGAAAGCTCTGAAAGCAAACATTTTTCAAATCAAGAAATGTGAACCTAAACTGCATGACAAGCCTCCCTTAGCCTTCTTCAGGAGGCAGCTGGCTGGGAGAAAAATAATTGCAGTTCCAGAGAATGTGGCTGGTTACTGTTAGAGACTTTGAAGAAAGATGCTGTGTTCTTCCAGATGGTACTGTTAGCCAAAAATGGCCGAGCCCAAGGCATCTGTTTTTTCATAGCAGCCCAAGCTGAATAAACTTAGCCTTGTTGGCTCTGTTTCTTTCGCATTCTGTGAACTAAAACAGCAGTGTTTGTAATTTAAAGGCTAAAATATTTTTCTAGCCTGAAATGCAGGGTTCATTTTAAAACTGCTCCACTCACTTGATCGTAATAAACCACTTAACTGCTGAAGAGCTAATCCATTAGGCTTTAATGTATACAGCTTAATATACCTTAAAATACCATAGAGTAGTGGAAATAAATTAAACTTATTTTTATATTCTTAATGCTCTGTAAATCAGCCAAACTTATGTTGCTTTTTTAATGGCAGCAGGCAAGCAGCGTTCATTTGTGAAGTGCAGCTTGGAGCATGTAAAACAGTTTAACTTATGTGGCTGGCTTATCTTGCACTAAAATATTTTTTCAGGGCTATAAAAAAAAAAAACTAGGTGATATTTTAAAAACAAAAAACAAACCCCAAACAGTGCTTTCTGTTGCAAGGCATTGTAGTACCCTTCTTTGGGAGCACTTAAGAAGCACCATTTTAATAACTCCTCTGAGGAAATTGTTAAAAGAATTAAATAAAATTCTGAGCTGCGTTACTTGGTGAACTCTCACATTCTAATATCTATGTGCTGGAGATGGAGAGGTGGATTTGTTAAAAGGAAATTCTGTATTTAGGGAGAGAAGTGATAAACTGCAATTGTACTTAGAAATATGCACCTGTGACAAAGCACTTGCCTTCTGTTTAGGTGGCATTGTTGGTAGGTAAAGGGTGGAATTGTGCATCAAACGTAAATCATACTTCAGAGCAATTCCGTTCCCTTTCCTCCCTTTAGATTTGTGGCATGCAAGTTTGGTTCTGATTTAAAATTGGTTCTGATTTGATCATGTCAATAGAATGCCTTGACGTATTATTTTGGACTTTAAATTGTTCGCATATACCGATTTTCTTTAATACTCCTGTTAGTTAGCTACATGATATATGGTGTCCTTTATGCTCCAGGTGGCACCTCTAGGTTACGTTTTGTAGTATAAGCATTTATTTCTTTCGTGACGGGCTCTAATCGATATGACTCTTGATTTTTGCAGGTGCTGTGAGCGATGTTGAGATGCAGGAGCATTATGATGAATTCTTTGAGGTATGCAGAAAAAGCGAATGTTCAAAATGCATTGAAGCGTTCTCAAATTTACGGAAGCAAATGACTTAAGTGGGTTTTGGTGAATATCACAAGTAAATGGGCTCAGAGAAGACCATTTGTTTCCTCAGGTGTTTGTTTAAACTTCAGACTTTCAGTGCTAAGTATTTGCTGGTGTAACTTCAGTTTAGCTTTACTGTATATAACAGGCTTTGTTTAAAAATCGTCAACCCATGCTCAGTGGCATTTGGATTCTGTAATCTCTTCTGTAAATTAAGAAAAACCCCAGCACCTTCATCATTTGTATGCATATGCATCTAAGGAACACTATAGCTGCAAGGCTTATGTGTGGTGTTTTTAGTGCTTCTTATGTGTTGACTAAATACTGTATGCTTAATGTTTTCCTTAGCTTTTTATTTTATCCTGTTAGCACTGTGCTTAGAGGTGGACGCAGTGCAGGTCAAGCAAGTACCAATTTTAAGATGGGAAATGTAAAGACTTCAAAGAGTGGTCTTCTTTTAGTTGTTACTAATAGTTAAGTGCATCCGTTCTGCACTTTAACATGTCCCAACATGTTAATTTTCTTTATTTTTTTAAACCGGTTTGTGTTTAGGAGGTCTTCACAGAAATGGAAGAAAAATACGGTGAAGTTGAGGAGATGAATGTTTGTGATAACCTTGGAGATCATCTAGTTGGAAATGTATACGTAAAGGTAGGATAAAAAGAGAATTGTTAATTTAAATGAATAGACGTAGTATGACAGATTTGTAAGTTTAAAAGCGCTGTACTCTTGTAGCTTCTGTGCAGGTTGCACTTGAGGATCCTAAATGCTCTCCGGCTTATCACTCTAAGTTAAAAAGAGTGGAAGTAGCAATGGAATTTGAAACAAATCTTTAGAAACAGTGAAAAGCGTTTCTGATAGTCAAAGTCTGTGTCAGTTTATTAAGACACGTGCAACCTTTTTTGCCTGGTTAATAAGCAGTCTCTGCTGAAGGTCTCTTAACTGACCAGTATGAATTCTGGATCTTTCTTCCTGTCATGCTGCATTCTAAGAACTTCACTAAGAGTAGAGGTTTATTTGCAGCAGGTGCTCATGTTCAACAGATGCACTTAGTTCCTAACTTCCCAGTTAAACAAAACATGTTGTAACCAATGGTACTAGTTGGTTTAAGGTCCAAACTGAAGGGCTTAGGTCTAGCTGTTCAAAGCTGTCGATACCTGCTTTCAGTCATGTGTACACAGTTACCCACTTGCAGAAATTTCATTGTGCATGCAAAGTGTCAGGAAGATGAACAAGAGCAGGTGAATATTTTTACTGTAATTTTCCTGAACTGGGAAATATTTGGGGGCCATATGTGTATGACTGCATGTATCTGTGTAGACCGTAATAATTGGAAAGAAAAGTTGCTTCTGAAAATTTACGTTGAGACTGTGGGGAAAAAAAAATGCTTTTCATCTTCTTTTTGAAAGAGGATCTAAGTTTCTGTAAGTGAACAAGGGCTTCAGTTCTCATGCTGATTTCTCTTAAACGCTTGAAGAAGTTCTGTTACGTGTGGAGCATTAGTATTACATGATGTACGCTGTGTTTAAAGTTGTAGTGAGAAGGCAGCGTTCCCATAACTTACATTATAAGCTGCAAAACTGAAAAGACCAAGAGAACATAGCTGTGAAAAAGTATCTGTTGTGATTAGCCCTGAATTCAAATCGGTGAAATGTAGATTATTTATTTTTACCCTGATGAGACTGTCTGTCTTAGGAGCTCTGAAGTAGTTCGTAGTTATATTAGTAGTCCTAAGCCACAGATAACATAAACCTGTTTTGTCAGGAATCTTTGATCTACTTCTGTTGCTTCTCCACAGCATGAAAAAATATTTTTGCTTTTAGTTTCGCCGTGAAGAAGATGCAGAAAAGGCTGTGATTGACCTGAACAATCGCTGGTTTAATGGACAGCCTATTCATGCTGAGCTTTCACCTGTGACCGATTTCAGAGAGGCCTGTTGCCGTCAATACGAAATGGGGTAAAAAGCAACTTCCTGTTTGCCTATGGAAGTGTCTTTTGAAGTGTTTGCACAGACAAGATGGTTGCTTGGGTGTGGGTTTTATGTGTAATTCAGAGTAAAATGAAAAAGCACTTCAGGCAACGGTAATCTGGAGTATCTAGTCAGCTTCTTGACTTTTACATCTTTTGGATTTTGATCTAGGAGCAAGTCAGTTTCAGTAAATGTTCTTTACTGTTTCTAGTATTAGAGGTGATGAACTTGTGAATGGCTAGAGGCCTACTAAGGGCTTAGGGCAAACAGATCCACTTTAGAGCTGAGAACTGTAACTCTGGATTTTCTTTTCAGAGAGTGTACACGAGGAGGTTTCTGCAACTTCATGCATTTGAAGCCCATTTCTCGAGAGTTAAGACGTGAGTTGTACGGGCGTCGTCGTAAAAAGTGAGTTTGCTTTTAAACAACTAAAACAGATAAATTACGCATCAGTTGTGTAATGTTCAGAAGACAAACCTTTTAAACTTCAGTCTTCTCTTGCTTTTTCTGAGGTGCACCTGTGAAAGGCATTGAGTACAGCTAGAAAGCAGACAGCTTAGAACCAAAGAGTGTGTTTTTGGTAAAAAACAACCAGAAGTATGATTCTGTCAAGATCTGTGGGTCATTTCAGGACCTGATGAGTATTTACTATTTCTCTTTAGTTTGATTTAACAGTTAATGGCTAGCTTTTGTAGCCAGTATTTGTTCCTTAGCAACAGGAGGTTAATACCAGAGTATATATTTATTAAGATACTTTGTGGAAAAGCTTACACCACTGCTGTTAATGCAGCATGTTTTTGTGGATGGTCCACTTTGTGCTGGATTGAATCCCTTTGGTTTTAGGAACTTCTTATTTAGGTTAAGCATGTTTAATTGTTGGATTTGCTTTTGTATGGAGTGGTTTTATATGGCTCTTTCAATCACAGAGGGAGCCTGGGAATACGAAAATACTTTTCCTGTAAGTGTCTCTAATTGGCAGCATCTTAAAATCTGTGAGGATAAATTTAACTTTCAAAATGTGAATTAACATGTTTAACTTTCTTACAGTGTTCAAATGTCAGTGTAATTTCTTGGGGCGTTCAAACAATTTGTGAAAAAAGATTAAATATGCTCATCTTAGCCTTTTGGTCACACCCAAGAATCTGAATCTTTCTGACTTAGGCACCAGTAAGTCATCTTTTATTGCAGTAAAGATCAGACTTGCATATCTGGCTGTGGAATATGATTGTTTTACCATGGCCTAATTTTAGTCTGGGGTCAAGCAAATAAAATATTTGAGTCCTCAGAGTATTTTAGTCTTTATTTGCCCTCTTTAAATTCTTGGTGAAGCTGTCACATGCTAGCAGTAAGGCTGGATGTTAAAACATGCACTTCTTGCATCAATGGGGTTTTGCAGGTAGACTGTATAGATTAGAATGACCTGAAGATATGCCTACATAAAATGATGTACTTTGAAATTTCAAGTAGAAAAAAGAAGGGTATACCTGAACCTGTGAAAAATAAGCTAATTTAGTAATTCTGAAGCTCAGTGGTATGCAAGACCTGTATGCCTCCGTGTTTGCTCCCATCCTGGAGCACCTTGACGTGGAACAATGTTTTGTAAAACCAGACTTGCAGCATTTGTTTCCATGGTCTTCTGAATTCTGCTGTAATTTCTGCATGTATTTAAATGGTAGTGTTTACTTTCTTCCCCCATTACTGAATTGTCTGAAATCTTAATAACCCTTCAGAACATAAGTCCTTGACAAGTGCCATGTAAGATATAAATCCATAGTAGCTGTGTTAGCATTCGGTGTGGCTTTAGCATTCTTCTTGAAGTCATCAACACTAGAGGCAGGGAAGGATTATTTGCAAAGGTTGATGGCTTCTGGAAATGGAAGGCAGAAAAAAAGCAAAAATGCATAAAACTCAGATTTTTGAGCTGCTAGATAATGCTGTTGCTTTAATGGGTTTGGACTTGTAAATGTTTAGCTGAAGGTTTTTCCTCTGTGTGCTTGAGAGCTGTTCTTTACCAGCTACGGAAGCAGTTGTCCCCTTTTCTTTTTGCTTCAATTAACAGCTGTATGAAAGTGCGTTTGTTTCCTCTACGTGCCTCTCCTCAAGTTTTATGACTGGCAGTGAACAGCAGAGTCTTTTTACAATAGCTGACTCCTGAGTGTTAGGTTAGTTCAATACATAAGTGTGTGATTTCACAGCGTGAGTGCCAATTTACCAATACTTAGAATATTCCACACTGTTTTTCTTCTGCCCCGTTACTTTCTTCAATATTCCCCAGAATGCTACTGCGAGTGCCGAAATAATGAAGTGTTCAAACTTTCTTTGAAGGCATAGATCCAGGTCGAGGTCCCGTGAACGTCGGTCTAGATCCAGAGATCGTGGTCGTGGAGGTGGTGGTGGAGGAGGAGGAGGACGTGAACGTGATAGGAGGCGATCAAGAGATCGTGAAAGATCCGGTCGATTCTGAGCCATGCCATTTTTACTGTATGTCTGCTAGAAAGTGTTGTAGTTTGACCAAACAAGTTCATAATGAGATTTTTTTTAAAGATGGGCTTCTGAATAAAAATTTGTAGTGATACAGTATTCTTTGTGTAACTTGTTTCCTGTCGGGGGGGGGGGGGACTCTTTTTAACTGTCATTCCTCTATCTTGACAAATACCTGGATTAATACTATGCCTGAGGGAAAGGTGGTAAATGTATTGGAGGAGGGCCAGTTTGGGGTTTTTTTATTTTTATTTTTTATTTGGACATGATTTGAACTGTTGATGAAAATGTGTGTGTATATAATATGAAATATTATATACATAGTAAAAAAATAATATACTGCTTAAGAAACAGTTACTCAAATAAGTTTCCCTTTTCTGCTATGCTGTCTGCTTATTTAGGTTAGTTTAGGCACATTTAAAAGGAAGGCTGTGCGAAGTGCATTTATTTACCAAGTAGAAACGCTTAGTTACAAAATGTATGTTTGTTTGTTACCAGAAGTCTGTGCTCTGTCTATCAATGTGACTGTGGCATTTACAATAAATTCCAGTTTCTTGGTGTAAAATCTAAAGCCTTTTTTCTAAGCACTCCGGAGTAGTTGTGTTGCTACTCCTGGCAGTGCCAGAGTTCATAGCTGAGGGGTTTTTTTATTCTTGACTGATTTCCTCATCTTTGCTAGAAATGAAGTTACCTATTGCAGTGTGTGGGAGGGGTGGGAAACAGTATTTTTGTCTCAGTAGCAATGAGTTTCTTTTTTAAAAACTCATGCTCCATACAACAGGAAACACAGGATCTATTGACAGAAACTAAAGGTCCTAAATAGAAGGCCCACATTTCTTAACAGACTGAATTTTTTTCACTGTGTTCTCCTAGCTGTTGCTTAATGAAGGGTGTTTCCCTAGCGTTCGAGATGACAGAGGACTAATTGGATACTGAGGAAAATATATTTTTTTCCAGTTTTACTTACTTTTGGAGAGATGTAAAGTATGATGGAGGCTGACAAACAGATGGCAGTTTCTTCACAAGACTTTTTCTGTCTTGGCCCAGTTGAATCGCACAACAGCTATGTATCCTAGGTTGTGCATCCCTTAAGGAGTTTAATTGAAATGTTGCTTGAGAGACTGTGCAGTGTACTTGCAATTTCAATTTTATTCAGCTTGTGAGGTAGCATGAAGTTTTGGTCAGTGGTCATATTTATGTCTGTAAAACTACCTAGTACAATAATAATAGCTTTCTGATGTGACAGAGCATTTACCAGCTCTTTAATTCTTAAGAGTATGGTAACTTGCTAAGTGATAGATCTGCTCCTTAATCATTTAAAGTAAATAAAAGGATAATAAAGGATATGGAAGTGTTGCATAGACAGATTAACAAACCAAAATACAAAATCACTTTGCTCGCTGTAACTTGGAGATGGCGAAGAAAAATATATTAAAAAGTGTGCATTTCTAAATGAATGTTAAGTTGTCTTTTAGAACGACATTCTTGTACCAACTTAAATTGAATTTATTACATTTCTTCTGAGTGGTTTGACCAACCAGTTTGTGGAATTTTTTCTGCCATAACTTTTGAAAAGAAAGGTATCTCTACATGAAGACAGCTTCACTATTTATATTTTGTTGCAAATACATGAACTGTGAATTCTTTTTTGGTGGAAGAAGTTGATTGGTGCCTAGAATAGATGGCTGAACTGAAACCTGTGATATGTCTGCTAGGTATGAGGAATTTAACATTGATAACTTAGTCCTGGTCTAAAGGGCATTAATCCAGTTCCATTTCCTGAATGAGATTTAGGATTATTAGTGAACTAATTTAAATCTCAAGCTCAAAAAGGTGAGAATAGCCACTAGTTTTTAATACGGTATCCAGTATAATGTGGTTACTACTTAAAATGCTTAAGATCTTTTTTCACATGGGTTATTGGCACAAGCTAGTTTGCTGTATAAACAAATTCATTTTGAACTAGTATAAATGTGTCTTTATAATGGCTTTCATCTGTTTATCTAAGCAGTGCTGAACAGCAAGTACATTTTTTTGTGTGAACAGATAGCAAACAGTTTTCCTCCTCCTCTTCTTACTGGAAGATGTCTTAAAGGGCACTGAAAGCAACGAGTTTTACTGGTGACAGCATTCAGCATGTAAACCAAGCTCATAATACAGCATCAGTGATGTTCACCCTTAAGGATGTATGCTACCAATAAAATTAATCCCATCTGAAATGTAAACTGCACAAATTTAGATAAACATGGTAGTCCAAACCTGATTCATTTACCAATGCAAAGGTAGGGAATCCTACTTGCCCACTCTGTTCTTATATGTATAGAGTTGAATTTTTCCCTCCCTCCCTATAGGTCCTGTTTTTCACAGATACATTGTTGTTGGCTCTTAACAGTGGATCAGATCTTATGGAATTCCTATACCTCAAATAAGTGACAGCATACAGTATTTTCAGAAGTCTGAGTCAATTAGGTTGAAAATGTTAATCCCGAGTGGCTTCCTCTTATTTGTATTTGGCTCTTATTCTGTGGAAATGCTGCTTGTCCATGAATATGATGTATGTTGAGACTGTAAAACCAAATGGAGAAAATTTGTTCAAAAATAAAGCCTTTTTTTAATAAGAATCTGACAAAAATTATCCCTTTCCTTTAAATGGGATGCTGCTCTTTAAATCATTGATGAGGACATAGACTACACATTTTAAATTCTCAGCTTTTGGCTCAAGTCGCTTTCAAATGATCCTTTGACTTGTTTTTGTAGGGCTGGTGGAGCATGCCTTCAATACATAACAAAACAATGATATTTACTTCATAAAGTTGAACTATCAAAGAGTGTAACTTGGTGGGTTGGTTGCTGTTTATTTTCCTAACCTGATAAGGGCTGTTCTATTGTGGTAATCTATAGAGAACAAGAAAGCTCATTTTGACAGAAAGAAAAAGTGTTGAGGAAACGAGTGACTGAGAAAGGGGACAATTTTTTGGAGGTGATTCTTTTTTTCCCCAGTGTTGCATGGATTGTACTGCAAAACTTTTGCAATGGGCACAGTCATTAATTCCCACTGTTTTACAATTGCAGCTTGTACCAAGTATGCTGTCTTTTAACATAGCAGAACGTGAACTGCTTTTGTATCAGGTAGGGAAAGTATTAATCACTGGGTTCTCCAAGCACTAACTTAGGACTGTTCTGAAAATCAGTCCTGTTTGAGGAAGTGTCAGAGCTGAAAAAAATGATACTGACTTGGTGTGTGCTCACATCAGCTGGTAAGGAAGTAATACCTAATAGGTAAGACTGTCATAGGAGAGAATACATATGGCTGTGCTAATTTACTACAAAGGTGAGCCTGAGGTATATACTATTGAGCATAGCTTTATACTGGAACGTGTGAATTTCCATTTTAAAAAAACAGAATTAAACCAGATGTCTGTAGAACAAATCAGCCTATCTTTGCATCGAAAAGATACATGATGCATCCTGAAACTATGCACAAGTATTTCTGAACTTATCCAATTAGCCAATTTTATTTACTGCATTATATTTACAAATGTCTCCTGGTTCTTCTTGCAGTTTTCAATATGTGTATATAGGAAATGGAGCATGTCTCTTGGACTGTGTGAATGATCCATGCTCCTCAGCAGTGTGCTCATCAGTCATGAACATCTGATCTTCTAGTGCTGAGTGTCATGCTTCATTTCCTATAAAGCTAACCTTTAGCAAGAAGAAAGAATAGCAAAGGACAACGCTATCCACAGCTGCACAGTTTCAGCAGCTGCACCAGAGCTATTTTAGAAGGTCCCATCTTGCAAAGATGGAAGTTCCTGCCAAAAAGGCGTCAGTTCAATTGCTCTGAAGTTTCAGCTGTAAATTGACTTTTGAAAACAATTTGAACAGTGAGGGCTACCAGACCGTATCTGCCAGCAGACCAGCTCTGGTAGCCAGCATCTTCATTTCTCCATATGTGAAGTGGGAGAGAGAAAGGTGATGGTTATCAGCTCCGTGCGTTCTTCATTGCACTCTGACGGTTGCTAGTTCAGTACTTTTCTCATACTTTGAGTTTTGGTGGCTGCTTTCTGACTAGATAGTTTTGGCAGGACTAAAGGCAAATACAAGTTACATGCATCCTTACATCAGCAGAGCAGCACTGTGATAGCTTCTGATGAAACGGTGGCATTCAAGTGAGGCTTTGGGCAGTAGTTTCCCAGGTGAGCTGTGGCCCAGTTTGTGTGAGTACAGTTTTCCCTTTGATTGAAGTATCTTAGAAATATTCAAAGTTCTGATGATTGTTCCCACTAGGGAGAAAACTTACAATCCATATTCCTTTGAGACAAACTCATTGGTTTCTGAAGAAGGCATGCAGAGTGCTGTTCTCCTGAGCAGTGCTGGAGCACTGTAGGCCACTGACTTCAGTTGCTAATTTCCAAAGCTGCTCTTTTGGTTAAGTCTGAAGGAATTAAATAAATTAAAACATTCCTGCCCTGCTTTTACTGGGCTATGAGACAAAGTGTGGATACAGGCTTTGCATAGCAGATGAGCCAGTCTCCCTGCCCCTCTGTTTTTCACTGAAAGCTCTACAGTCTGCCAGGTTTAGGCCTGCTGTGTTTTTGCTGGCAGCTGGCTCAATTTCAAGCATTGCCACCTATGCAACTGAATTTTGGCTGTATTTCCAGCCCATTTTCACTTGCTTCTTGGAGCTGCTTGGGATTCCAAATAGGAGAAAGGAAAGACGAAACTGCTTCCATTGTAGCCAGGTGTAGCAGCAAACCTTCTGGGCCTGAGGAGCAACTCTGAGCCTGAAGAGCCAAAGGAGCACCTGCTCTCCTTTTCCTGCTATCTCATTTCCCCTTGAGAGCTAATATTTGTGTTTAAGAGAAAGTTGAGAAGGCTGCACAGCTGAGAACAGTCCTGTGTCTTTTGTTACTGTCCCTTCCTCCTTTTTCGCTAGTGAATGTGGGAGTGGCTTCATCCTTTCTTCCTCCTATGCTGGTGGAGAAAAAAAAAATGTCCAACAGCTGCAAGAGAAAGGCTTGATAAAAGAACATTGAGGCAGTATGTGAAAAAGTGATTTCTGGACAAAGCGTAAGAGTAAAGTGAGTAGACTGCCCTACTGGCTTTAAAGTTGTTGTGTTGCTGGGCTAGGGATGGGCAAGGGAAATTCCAAAGCCTAAGGCCAAAATCTGACCGAGAAATAGCCTCATGAAGGTCCGGACCAGTTTTTTCATTCTGGAGGGCTTTGACTCATGGTTTTTGACTCTTTCACATGACCGTGTTGACCACAACAGAGATGTTTAATTGCCCTTCTTTGCTTAGCCTCTGAGGAAGGAAGCCTTTGGTCTTTAGCCAGCTATATGAGTCTCAAACACGCACAGTAGCACTTTAACTCTGTTCAGAAAGACCATCTTCAGCAAAGGGAATAGATTTGCAGATGAAGGCAGACTAATGGATGATATCCTTCCTGTGGGACTGTAGATGATTTAAGCAGGGTTTCAGACAGCCTCTCACTCCATCCAAACTGTGTTCTCACAGTTTGAATGGGCAACTCACCAAAGAACTGGCTGGGTCATTGGGATAGAGGGCAGTTAATAATGGATTGTTCCCCACATGGAGACTAATTACAAGTGTAGTACCACAGGGGTCTGTCAGTCCTAGCAACTGTCCTGTCGTACCAATTTGCTTATCAGTGACTTTAAGGAGAAAATTAGTATTATCCTCACCAGGTTGTGAATGACACCAAATTAGGGTTGCACTCTTGACGAGTGCAAAGCAGCCCTCCGTAGGCACCTTGATGGGCTTGAGGAATGGGCCAGCAGAAACCTCATGAAATTTGAACATGAGCTTATGACAAGTCCTGCCCCTGGAATGAAGCAAGCCCCTGTCAGGCTGGGGACGACCTGGCTGGGGAGCAGCCCTGTGTGAAAGGTCCTGGGGGTGCAGTGGGCAGCAAACAGGGCAGGAGGCCACAACTTGTCCTGGCAGCAGTGAGGACCAACCTGCATCCTGAATAGTGCGACTGAGACAGTCAGCAGCCTGAGGGAAGTGACTGTTCCCCTCTGCCTCGGTACTTGCTAGGCTGCATCTAGGTACTGCTTACTGTTTTGGCTTCCAGTGTGGAAAAGTTATCAATAAATTGGAGTTGTTTGGGTTGGGGAAGGTCCAAGATAGCCAGGGGCTGGAGCAATGGCCGTGTGAGGAGTGGCTGGGGCCTGGCTCAGACGAGGGAAGGAGCAACTGTAGGGGAACCTAACAGCCACCTCCTATACCCGCAGGGAGGTCAGCAAGAAAAGAAGCCATGATTTTCACTGAGGTTGTCAAGTGAAAAGGGAAGTTCTAACTGAGGGCAGAGACAACATTTTCCCAATGAGAACGGTTAGACACTGGGCTGGCTGTACAGGCTGTGTCCTTGGAGGCTTTCAAGACACAACAGTACATAGCCTGAGCAACCTATTCTAATCTCTGGGCTGACACTGCTTTGAGCAGTAGGGTGGACTTCAGGCCCCTTCCAGCCAGAGCAATTCTGTGCTCCTCGTGTTAAACCTAAATCC